ATTAAGCACACGAACTTCTAGGTATAATATGCTTTCATCCTTTCAAATAGCTGCCTTTTTCATTGTTTCTGACCAGAAAGAAGACGTGTTCTATTTCACAAATGAAACGTTTACATCTCATTTATTGCGTACCTTATTTCTGTCACTGCGTCTCCACGTTTTTCGAGTAAAGAAATCTGTATTTTCAACATATTTCTTTCTCCAACAGCCTACGACATCTTTGAATCCGAAAGTTTACGCCAAACATCGTAGTATCAGCTTTGCTAGAATCGGAAATCAGTTCATGAATTGATCGTCTACGCAAGGTTGTCCATGTGTACCTTCAATTTTTGTTTATACAACCATTAACCTTTCATTCTTGCTCGGCGGTTTTGGTTGCTGTATTTTAGTTACCCATTCGGATGATGAATTAGAATGTTAGAGGCAGTATTAGGTTGAAGGTCAAGAATTTATATCAAATATGGTTCTATGGAATTGGAGTGGCAATGCTTACCACACAATCAACCATCTCACCCTGTTTCTCTAACCATGGATTAAACTTATCTCGAGGACTCCAACTACGAACCTTTATGCTGGAGGTCTTGCACGCCCTTATACCCTTAATTAAGTCACCTTCGGCTTTTTTCCATCCACTACCTAGGTAATACTTGTCCTGAGAACCCCACCATACTTGTTTAATGCACAGACCGTAGCATGTGATGTTTTCAGATTTTATTCCAAGAGCCCTTGGCTAGTTCAGGGATATCCTGTTATCCAGGGAGATGGTGAAGTTATCCGCCCAGACGGATCTCGCATGTTTGAAACAATCCACACGTCTGGAATAACCAACACACTTCGCTTCACTGAGCCGATGCTCCTCGCCTCCTAAAATTAATTTTTAGGTATTATTATTTTTCATAACCCACATATCAGCCTATTACCCACAGCTCTTCAACCAGGATATTTGTGTTTTGAACCTTCCGTTGAATAAACCATTCAAATTTGCAATGTTCAGCCAGTAAATAGGACGTTTTCAGCAAATGCTTTGAAAGATGTTCTCCCTAGGAGCGGTTCCCTTGACAAGAACAATACCTTGTTCACCCTTGGAGGAACTTGGGCCGTTCCAGAGTCAATAAGTGCTTTCAGCAATCACCTGTTAACTTATTGATTGTCCATGTGCGTTTGTATCACTTCCCTCTAACCCCTTATTGCCCTCTTAGTCTTCATTGCTCAATCAGCAGCAAAGCACATTAGTTTGGGTCAAGTTGCAATCAGATGTTGTTTTTATCCGGAGGTGAACTCCATCAAGTGGATTGGAAAATCTCATGGTGATATTTGCCACACGTCATACGTGTACTTCCAAACGGTATCGAAGTATCATATGATGGCGTTCTATTTCAGTCGAGTTCATCATGTCCTCCTGATTCAGCTTAGCAGATTTCATCTCACAGGATCCGTTAGGGTTGATTGTATTTATGATATTTACACTGCATCATGTTTCCAAGTTTTGGTTTCATGGCTACAACGACCGCGTTTGTTTCACTCACACTTTATTACTGTCCCTCAAAGCATTAAGTTGCAGAAAAACCTACTTTTCTTTCCGAAACATGCATGCAGTAAAAGGTCTCATGAGACTGATCTGCCTCCTGGATGTGACTCGTTTCGCCTATTTGAAATTGACATCCACTACACTTTAGTATACAGAGTGGTTAACTTTCACAACCAATTGCTTCGTTCATGCGATTCTGATTTTCTTATTCTCACAAGACGCATCACTGGACCGAAATCATTTGAGTGACAAATCTCCGCGAAGTAAACGACCCGTGAAATCCACCAAACAGAATTCGACAACGGAATCACGTGATGACTCGTCTGGACCGCGAACCAAATCGACGGAGAACCATGCACAATCAGATGAAGATTATATTCAGTGGAGTGCACACACGGTTCCCAAGGGCCGGTCGTCGAGTCGGATGGACGTACCAAATCAGCTGAATTCGAATGCGTTGCACACAAGCAATGCCATCACCACCACCGCATCCGGTGCGGTGTATCACAAATCGCAGGAAGAGGAAGAGGTATGTTCCGTTTGTCTGTCTTTGATGGATGCCATCATTATCACTTTTTGTTTAACGTATTCACATAGTTTTATACAATTTTGTTATGCTATGCCATTGTTACCTACACGCATCATTAACAATCCAGTGTTCCTTTTTGCTTTCAGCTGAAAATTGCAGAACTCTGAGAGACCTCGACACGAGGCTTTTCGTCTTGGGGGATATAATGCTTTCGTCTCGTTTGTTTATACATCTTCTTTTGTCATGTGTTCATTACTCCCATCTCTCCCACCCCACCCCCGTACTCCTCCCCATTCTGAATTCGGTATCTTTTATATCTCTATTGTTCTATTCCTAAATATCAACAAGAGCATTTTCTTTTTTCGGAACAGATCCCGGGCTTTGTACGATTCCAACTCATTCATCAACCGACTCATTTACACACGATTGAACATACACACACGAAAATCTAGTCATTTCAGTGGTTCCGTGAATCCAATTTCTGGCTAATATTTTGATTGTTAGGCGGGCATTCAGTCCACGGTTTTTGTTTTTGAGACTATTATCAAGCAAATATAATTATTTACCAGTATTCTGTAATGAGACGTGTATGCATGTGTATAGAACTTCTTTGTTCAATCTGCATTCGCTCGCGTATAATTTTCACCGCTTGTTGATCTGCTCCACCCAATCAGACGCACATTATACTGTGTCAGAGGGACAGAAATAATAACTGTCGAGTTGTGGAGATAAACCTTCTCTGTCGTGAAGGTTTTTCAAAATAATTTCTACCGATTGCTCAAGATAGTGTATTAAAGTGAAAGAACTGATTGGCCAAGATTTTTGGTATGAGTTGACGATCAATACGTGCTATGCTTTCCTGTTGGGATATAGAGGTCCAACGTTGAGTGATGCTACTCTGTCGTGAAAATGTGTTGATTCATCCACTCGCATCTATATGGACTGAGTTTACTCGAGTTCACTTCTTTGTTTTACTCGCAGATCTTTCATTTCATTGTGAATTGATCTAACATCTTCCTTTAGTGATCGCCCCAAGCGGAACACCTATCAAAAATAGCTGGGGCTCGGAAGCTCAAGATTAATGGCTATACAAACTTGACCTTTGCATTGCCGAATTTCTTAGTGGAAACTTCGGGGTAAACAGGTGCGTCAGTATCTACAGGACTCCTAAAATAGTTTTATTCCAAAAGGCGACAGTCGACATCTTGTTACTGTCACACATACAATTAACAATTAAAAATCGCAGATATCCACTGACGGTTTTTTAACCCATTTTTCCACTCGTCCGTGCACTCATGTACATTATTGAGCTATAACACAGAGAGATGTGACCTTTTTGGAACAGCCGGGTGAGCCAAATTAACCAATACGGTACAGGGTGACGGTTACCGAACGGTAAACTGGTTCCATTGACACCGAGATCTGAAAACACACGGCCCACTTTGATGATGCACTAAATAGGCGCAGGTACTACCCTGCAATGGCCTGTGAGTTCATGTGATGCTAAATGGTTGGTCGTTCGCGAGTGCGCTGTTGGTAGTGCAACTAAATTTCCATAGGGCTGGGTCACGGTGGGCGATCGAGACACGAAGTTGACCTTTGAGACATGGTGAATTTTGATTTAATTTGATTGAGCTGCGACCTTGTGCTTAACCGGAAACAGACATATTGGACAAGCCGATCATTTCACGGTGATCTTTAAGCAAAGATTGCAACGGTGAGGGCGACTTGCCTGTGTACGTCAGTGCAGTCTCAGCTTTGTTTGTCCACTTTTTCTCAGCACGCCATGCGCTAGTGACTCGAGGTGCAAATTTGTAAACTCAAAAGGTCTGTGTTCCCCTCTGACTTGGAGAGGGAGAGGATTTCATGTAGATCCAATCCTGTTTGATAAAAGAAATCGAAATTTTGAGGAATCAAACTATATTTTCGCCAATGGAAAATCACGAAAAATCGTGGATTACATGCTTGCCTGATAAAAGGTACTCAAGATGGAAAATTAATTTTCTCAAGTTACGGTGCAGCTTTTCAGTTCTAGGAATCTGTTCCAATCAATAAGAGTCCCCGGTGATCGGTAAACTCTGTAGAGCAGAATATCCTGGATTTGCATAGCCCCCTTTAGGATTCATCAGTAAAATTTCCCGACGATAACCTCTTGTGTACTGATTGACGGCTTACAACCGCTTTATCACCCATCCAGTGAAATAATTAGCTGCTGAATAATGGGGTTGGAAATAACGTTCTAATCACGTACCAAGGTTAAGTGTTAAGAGTTGCAACGATAACAGTTGACAGATTTCCTGGTTTGTTTGTAATACATGTAGCTTCTGCTCGTTACGTAAAGAAAAGGGTAATCTTTCGAGAGAGGAAGAACGAACCTTTTATCTTAGACCCCACATTCCTAGATGAATCTTGGTCATGTTCGAATTTTCTTTGTGCCTAACAAATGCCCCTGTTATCACCATACGTTGCGGTTTACTGAAACGTGTCCTCTACGTGATTGGAAGACAATAAAACATTAAATGAAATTCGTTTTAAAAGATGAAAAAACTCAAAGGTGCTCACTCGCAGTGCTTCATTTAAGTTATATTTCCTATCACAAACGTAATGATTATTATTTTAATTAACGGCGACAATTTGACACAAAATTTCAAATATTTGTTTCCAGCAAAACGCCCCCTGTTCAGCTGAGCGTGAGGATGCATTGATACTCTGTTTAAGTTCATGAAAGTTATTCTAACCTCACAACTTTCCTTCCTGATGACCACGGGTCCTAACTCTGTCCAGAAGGCGCATAAAAGTCGGTCTTATGTCTGTGCGTGGAAATTCTCCCGCTTCGAAATTTCATCGTGACTAGAGGACACATATATGGCCACTAAACTGTGTACAGGGCTCCCTTAATCAAATTATTTTTTTCCACTCATGATTCCTTGTGTCAATCAGCATCATGCTTTATTATTGTTCTTGCTTTAATGTGCACCTCATATTTGCACAAGTTTCATGATAAAATAGAATAGAACTGTTTTCCTTAACCTGATGCGAATAATTTACATGGGAGAGCCCTTGTACCACTCCATTTCCTTGTGATTTTCTATCTCACGTGACTGCGGATACTTGTTCCATTTGGGCTGTTTTTTGGCCGATGCAGGTATGCGAACTAATGGGTGAACATATTCGGTCACTTTGTTTCAATCAGTGCCTGTGTGCTCACCATCATGTACAACTCACCGGGGTTGTTTATGACAAACAGTTCACGTGGACACAGACACTCTCTCACGCAATGTTTCTTGAGACTTATCCCTTTCTAGGTTTCGGGAAGCCACAAACGTTCGTTTTCCCGATCGATAAACAATTTGAAGCCTCCCCCCCCCCACGGTTCATTTTAACCACGCCTTTAGCCAAATGATCGGTTGGGCAAAGTGTGCGTGATGCTGGGTTGGCGTACTCGTGGATGACCAACAAATTAGCGCCACATGACCTTACAGGCCATTACAACAGCCTGTTTACAGGGATGTTCATGCGCGTGCTTACATCAGTTAACCGGACCACTCGTCCACAAAATCGACTGTTGTGTTTTCAAACTTCGGCCCTAGGGTCCCGTGTGTTGTCCTGTAACTGTCACCGGTTCGATTGGTTCTGTAAAATCCCATCTGTGTTGTACAATTAGCTCACAGATACACACGTACATGCATGGATAGGGGGGGAGTGTGTGTGCAAGCCTATGCACCAGAGCTGGGTTCAAACTACCGATTATCCATGATTTCCAGTGGTATCTGAAATTTCGGCAGAGACCTAGCGTATAATTACTATTTTACGGTACCAGAGATTATTTGACAGTTTCCGATTTTTTTAATGCAGTTTGATATTTTCCAATCGCGGGCGCGAATTTTCTCTTAATTCTTTAGGATGTAATTTAAACGAGACCAGCTACCTTGTGAACATGGCACTGTGTTTTGATCGTTTTTCTTGAATTTCGGAACTAGCCCGTTATGGCATGCTCAGACGGATTCAGAGGCGAACAGTTGATCCCAGTAAATTATCTACCAGCCTACAAAATTGTAGGAACGTGCATTTTTTATTTATCTTTTGTAATATTATTAACAAAGCAACGGCCAGTTAGAAAAAGAGAAAATATTCGATAGCTGAGTGAGTGTACATACAGTACTCAGGAATAGGCTTCGAGAAGAATGTAAGCATAGCTCACTACATATACCAATGCCCTTTTTTACCTCAGTAGAGTTGGGTCAGTCCCTTCTGTATCAGAACTTCAATACACCCCCTCTGCGTGCTGACGAACGCCCTTTTAAAAACTGTGGTGCTAACTTTTTCCCATTCCGAGTTCAAGGTAGCTCTTGAATAAGCAACGTAACTATTGGACGAGATATTTCGACACTCATCTTTAACACTGAAGTCATAGTTACTGGTGATTAGTAGTCCGGGGCTAGGTGTCCGATTTTGACCGAACATCCTTCAGACTCCATTTTTACACACTCTTCTCAGCTCATCCAGTTAACCTAGAAGCTCAAAGCTCGAGTTTCACTCTCACTAGTGCACATCCACCGTTCTATACGGGTTTTTGAACTTCGGACCGATCGCATGTATCTGCACTGTGCCGAACAGCTCACGTCAAGGCTGAACAGTTCAGTTCAGCTTGAACAGCCAATTAACCGTGCACTTTCGTGTGTCGGTATCCGTTGCTGTCTTTTGGCCAACCATTTGGATGAACAGTAGTGGAAAAACAGTAAAGTTGAGGATAGAGTGGACTAAGGTTGCAAAGATTTTGACAAGATTCACGAACGCCACTGTTTACGACACTCAGCCATATCACTCAGTATCTCTAACGATCGGTTACGATCATCCCAAGGTCCCCAGCCGGGTAGCCTAACGGGACATGTGACCCAGTCCCCGAGCCAGGTCTTAGCTTGGCCACCTTTGGCTTTTTTCCACCCACTACGTGCCTCGGTAAACATCGCTCGC